CCACCACCTCCAGTATATGGGACCAGCACCCTATCCTTTTGAGCCACAGGTGCCACCCAATGTTAGAATGTTTTTTAAAGGTCACCTATTCTCAGAGGCAAATTTGTACATTATTCTTACTACAAATTGGCACAGTTTTTAAATATCTCTCACTTTAAGATAACACAACAAAGAAAGGCTAGAATCTCAAAACAATGGTTTATCACAAATGTTTTTGATAAAAAGAGTGAGCTTTATTTGAATTTATTCTCTCACCAGCTACTCCTTTAACATAGATGCAATTCTTAACTGCTTAACAGATGAGTATCTCTTGAGACAAGCTGCTGGGGTTCAGGCAGCTGTCTGCATTCTTGGTTCTTGGGGTGCTCTTGGCCAAAGAAATGACCAGACACTCCAAAGCAAGACAAGTGTGAAACAGTTTATGGAGGAAAAAATAGATAGGTTTACAGAGCAAAAGCAACATACATTCACCAAAGACGGCAATGGCCCTCTGTGGCAACAAAATAAAAGGCTCTAGTTATGGCCCGGGGTTCTATTTTCTACTGCCTGGATTGGGCCGGGCTTGTGGAATGAGAGTCTTACCACTACACATGCGGACCTCCCATGAGCCTCTCTGAAAGCTCATTGTGGACTGCAATGTAGGTTTAAGGTCATGACATGATAATTAGCCTGAAGGTTGTTCTAGGTCACCTTCCGTTGCTACTGTACCTACGGTTCGCCCCGTGGACTGGAGTCCTCTGCATCTTTTTGCAGTTGGCTAAGTTCTGAATGGTAGGTTGTTGGTAGTTGGGGGAGGTGGGGTTTGATCTCTCCTCCCCAGGTGTGAGCAATCACATGGGACAGTATTACGGTGGGGTGGCATTAACAAAATTTTATTTAAATGTGACTTTTTTTTTTCACAAAAACTGGCATGGTGGGTCAGACCAGTGTTTTGCCTAGGAAGTTCTCAAAGGAATGCTCTGGGGGAGGCCATGGGTCCCACACACACACCTGTCCCCCCCCCCCTTAAAGAATTGATGTTTCTTTTGCTACATGGGTAGAGCCCGATCTATTAATCTATCCCAGGAGGTACATCTGGAAATTTGACAGCTGGGGAGGACTTGACTAACACTTTCATAAAGAACATTTTACGTGATTGGAAATTACCCTTTTTCTTTGGGCCTGTCTGTTTCATGTCCAGGAAAAGGAAACATCGTGTAGTAACTTGATGCGGGTTATCAAGTCTTCCTAGAGCTGCAGTCATTACATTTGCAGTATCTCGATGCTCCGGGTCTCTCTGAAAGAGCTTCGGGGGTAAAATAGCTGGCGGTAAACCACCTCTTTAAACAGGTAGTGGCTGCCTGAGGCTGGGCTTGCTCAGTGAATCTCCTGGAGAGAGATGCTCTCTCTTGCTCACCACTCAGCATGGAAACAAGATAAGGAATCCAAGGTTCCTGCTGTTCCTGCCCTCCTAATCCCCACCCACATCAAGTGTGCAGAGGACAGGATCTGGGATGGGGTATTGTCAGGCTAAGTGGGTGTAATGTAGGACTGAATGAGGAGGACAAAGTGGGTAGGAGATGAAATGAAAAGATTGTAGGAGGGAAAATGGAACAGGGTGGGGGGGCGGGGGGATGTATAAGAGCTGCATTTGCCTTCTGGTTGCAAAGAGGAGGTAGTTATTAATAAAGAGATAGAGGCCAGGTGGTGTGGAGCGGGTAGGACCCGAATGCTGAGGACAAATAATTGGTCTCTCTCCTGGCTTAATGCTCTGCTCTGGTGTGCTCTCCCAGATGTTTTTCTGTTGCCATGGCGGCGGGAGCGGGGATAATGGCCATGGAGCAGGGAAGATGAGGCCACAGAAGGCTCTTTGCTCTGTTTTAATACTGATTACAGAGGCTTCACATTTCGTGCATCTGAAGCACTTTTGTAATGGGGTTTTAAATTTGTCCATCATCTGCATGCAGGCTAGCTTGTGCTCACCCTGAGGCCTGTTGGGAACCCGGATTATAAAGATAAATCCTTGCCCACACCTGAGAAATTAGTGGGGAGTTAGGAAGCAGGGGAGAAGGGAGAGAGGAGGAGGGGACGACAAAACAGGGGAATCTGAATGACTCACCTGTAGAGACCTTCGATTGTGTAGGGGCTTTATTTATAGTAAAATCTCTTGAGGGAATAGCCTGTAAGCTTTAGATGAAAATGTGTGTGTGTGTGTGTGTGTGTGTGTGTGTGTATGTGCTTGTATATGAGTATATAGTACATATATAAGTATACATATATATGTATATATATATATATATATAATACAACAGGAAGGTATTTTCCTTTCCCCACTCTAAGTTTCTGAGGAGTCAGGCATCTGCAGGAAACTTTAGAATCCTACCAGAGGCCAGGAAATAACCTACAGCCTCTGAAAGCAAGCAGTGATGGCATGAAACTTACTTCCGTGCCCAGCTCTCCTGGATTAGCAATGCCATTCAGGCTTGCCAACCCATAGGAAATCGCAGCAGCTCAGTGCTGCCAGGGACCCATGTCCAGGTGCTGCTGGTTGAGTTCCCTCCCTGGGACCTGCATTTCGACAGCCCAGACGAAAGGAGGCCTCTGATTGCCAAGGAGCAGGAACGTCCATTTCCTGGACCTCCACAAAGTGGTTTGCGTTTTAGTGGTTTTCACATCATAAAAGGCCCAGTGGGCCAATGCTATCCCCTCACTTGACATTGTTACCTCATTTCTCTGGGTGTGCTGGTCATCCTGCCAAATCAAACAGAGCTTCAGCGGGGGCTGCAGGCTCTGATTCTCACCACGTGTCCGTTTGGAGTCTGATCTGCGTTAGAGCCATTTTGTAAACTGGGACTCTCACCTCACCCAATAGTAACAAAAAGCAAGCTTTTTGGAAGTCTCACTATTGTGGTGATGCCAAGTCTATAAGATTTGACACGAATTTAACCAAGTGCCGGACAATCAAGATTAAGACCTACTCATTTATTCAACAAATACTGAGTTGGTTAAATATTGTTAGCTGGATCAGAGCTGGAGGAAACCACAAGCATGGTCCCAACCTCTTTAGACCTGTGATCTGGTGGGAGAGACAGAATTAAAATAATCAAACAGATGAATTGACCAATGAGGTATTGTGGTCAGTACTATGAAGGAAGCCAGCCAGGTGCTGAGCCAGGGCACAATGAGGAAGATGGCCCTCAAGTTAGATAGTGGCCCTGAGGAAAGACAGTTGAATCTGGGACCCTGAGAGTGCGAGAGATCCAGGCATTCAAAGAGCAGGTGTAGGGCGGTGCCTGTGGCTCAGTGAGTAGGGCGCCATATACTGAGGGTGGTGGATTCGAACCCAGCCCCTAGCCAAAGTGCAACAAAAAAATAGTTGAGCGTTGTGGTGAGTACCTGTAGTCCCAGCTACTCGGGAGGCTGAGGCAAGAGAATCTCCTAAGCCCAAGAGCTGGAGGTTGCTGTGAGCTGTGATGCCACAGCACTCTACTGAGGGCGACAAAGTGAGACTCTGTCTCTAAAAAAAAAAAAAAAAAAAGATCAGGGGTAAAAGCAAAGTTCCAAGGGGAAGCCTGATAGACCACCTCGTACTCCAGGCCAGAGGCAGACTGTCCTAGTGTCCAGTGTGGTGTGTCATAGGAGATGAAGCAGCAACCTTTTGCACTGGGACATTTCACTGAAGGGGGCCCAGGGGCAAACCCCCTTGTTCAACGTTTTTCTTCCCTTACCACTGTTTTCCTTTTTGTGTGGATGTAAAAATCAAACAGGGATGAACATCTGACCTGAAGTGAGTGCTCTCTGAGGGCCATCTGTGTCTAAGGGAAAACTGATTTCACACCAATTAGGATTTCAGCATGGCAGTCTGGGGCGGGGCGGTGGCTCATGCCTCTAATCCCAGCACTCTGGGAGGCTGAGGGGGGTGGATTATTTGAGCTCAGGAGTTCAAGACCAGCCTGACCAAAAGCAGGACCCTGTTTCCACTAAAATAGAAAAATCAGCCAGGTTTTGTAACTGGTACCTGTAATCCCAGCTATCCGAGAAGGTGAGGCAAGAGGATCTCTGGACCCAGGAGTTTGAGGTTGCCATGAGCTATGATGACCCCACAGCACTCTACCAGGGCGGCTGAGTGAGACTCTGTCTCAAAAACAAACAAACAAACAAAACCCACCTGGCAGTCTGCACTTGTTTGACTTGGAGGCTAATTGTTGCTCCTTTATTATTCACTTGAAGTCGTTTAGTTCTTTTTGTAAAGGAGCCTTCAGCTGTTGTTGAAATAAAAAGTCCTTACAGAGGAAGCACTAACATGACCTTTGTATTTATTCCCTTTTAGATGAACTGGGAAGTGAAAACCTGAAAGTGTAAGTTTCCCCACTGCCTCCAGTGCAGCTCCGGGTGTGGATGGAAGGGAGAGGCAGAGATTAGAGAGCCATCTGCCTGCTTGGGTGTTTCTGTTGGGATATGCTGTGGGCCTCTCCTGCCTTCTCAGCCAGGGGGATGGCCTCTAGGGGCCTAAAGGAGGATGGCGGAGTCCTCAAACTGTATGCAGCCCCTGTGATCTAGCACAAGAGAGCGTGGGATCTCCTTTATTTCATGTCCTCTGTTGTAACTGCTACCAATTCCAAGTACATAGTTGTTAAATATTCTAACCATGGGTGTGTTTCAAGGATATCAGTTCATTTATTCTGATTAAAAATTTTATCAGCAGGGAAGATGCTTGAGCTGGTATTGTAGGACAGGGAGGTGAAGTACCCACAGCCAGAGCCACCAGGGAGGGGAAGCGGTGGGGATGAGGGGATAGAGAGAGAGACAGGGACAGAGAGAGAGAGAGAGAGAGAGAGAGAAACAACTTTCCACCTAGAAGCATGCTCTGGGCAATGCCACACATGTCGCAGGAGCTTAGCTAGTTTAGAAACTGCTGGCTTCCTCTGCCCATTGTGCCACCCCAGTGCTTTCCAGGGTGGGGGTCCTCTCCTCTTCCAACTCCATCTTCACTGGCCAGGGGGCTTCTGTCCCCTCACTGTGTGCTGTGAGCTCAGGCCAGTGAGAGCAGTGGATTTCTGAAACCAACAGCTCACATATCAAAGAAAGAAAAGCCTGGGAATTGAAGAGAGAGGTGGTAAAAGCTCTCTATTGATAGTGGCTTCTTGACCTGGGGCACTGATCAAAAATCCCAAGGAAAGGGAAGTGAAATTAAGCAAGACTAACACACCAAATGTGACAACTCCCCAAGGAGCCTCACAATGGAACCCTTGCAGACTTGACTTTGCACTTTCAGAAGAGCAGTGAGTCTCCTCCACTCCCCCTTTAACCCATTAAAGGCTGCACCTGTGGGCCCTCCATTTGGGGGCCAGTGAGAGATGTAGATCTGTTTTGGCATTAGTCTTTCCTCCTGTTAAAGTCTGATACTGTGGAATAATGCACACCCCCAGGCTGCCTGGGGGCATAAGACAGAATCAAGTTCAGCTTCGGTAGAGTCAGCATCTAGTCTCTCTCCAAATGAATTTGGCACATTACGCATTTTTTCCATTAGCTTTTTGCTCCCTGTTTCTAGCCCCATTTTTGAAGAAGACACACCCTCTGTTATGGAAATAGAAATGGAAGAGCTTGATAAATGGATGAACAGCTTGAATAGAAATGGTATGTAGTAACCTAAACTTGTTACTTTTCCTTACTAGTAACAGAATAGAAATGGTATGTAGTAACCTAAACTTGTTACTTTCCTTACTAGTAACAGAATACTACTACAGGTATGTAGTAACCTAAACTTTCCTTACTAGTTACTTTCTGTTACTTACTGTTACTTTCCTTACTAGTTACTTTCTTGTTACTTACTAGTAAGTAACTAGTATAAGTAACTACTTACTAGTAGTAAGTTACTAACAGTAACTACTATTAAGTAATAACTACTAGTAGTAACTAGTATTAAGTATTAAGTTACTGGTGGTAATTTACTACTAGTAACTACTATTAGTAGGTCTAGGTCTAGCACTAATTACTATTAGTAGTAATAGGTCCAGTACTACTAATTAGTAGCAATGCTAATAGTAGTTACTAATTAACTACTAACTAATTAACTGCTAGTGCTAGTTGCGGTAGTAACTACTAGTAAGTAACTAGTAACTACTATTAATAGTTACCAGTAGTGACTAGTATTAAGTACTACTTACTACTAGTAAGTTACCAGTAACTAGTATTAAGTAACTACGTACTAGTACTAAGTTACTAGTAACACCACTAGTTACTACTAGTATCACTAGTGGTGTTAGGTCCAGTACTACTAATTAGTAGTTATTGCTAGTACTACTAATTAGTAGCTACTAATAGTAACTAATTACCACTAGTAGGTCGTTTAGTACTAATTACTATTAGTAGTACTAGGTCCAGCACTACTAATTACTAACCACTAATACTAGTTACTAGTAGTAGCTAATTAATTGTTACTGATAGCAACTAGTATTAAGTTACTACTAAGTAACTACTTACTAGCAGTAAGTTACTAGTAGTATCACTAGTAAGTTACCAGAAAGTTACTTGTATTATCACTAGTAGTACTAGGTCCAGTACTGCTAATTAGTAGTTACTAGTAGTAACTATTACTAGGCCCAGTACTACTAACTACTACTAGTAACTAGTATTGCTAGTAGTGTTACTAGTAGTGCTAGGTCCAGCACTACTAACTAGTAGTTGCTGGCAGTTACTACTAGTATTAGTAGTAGTACCAGGCCAAGCACTACTAGTTAGTAGTAGTAAGTTACTAGTAGTGACTATAATTGCTAGTACTAGCTACTGGTTAGTAACTAGTAGTAGCTACTATTAATAGTTGCTAGTAGTAACTAGTATTACATACTAATTACTAGTAGTAAGTTACTGGTAAGTAACTAGTACTGCATAACTACTTACTAGTACTAACTAGTATTAAGTAGCTACTTACTAGTTACTAGCATTCTGTTACTAGTTACTTTCTGTTACTTACTGTTACTTTCCTTACTAGTAACAGAATAGAAATGGTATGTAGTAACCTAAACTTGTTCCTTTCCTTACTAGTAACAGAAGGTTGCAACAGCTTTATAAATACCTCAGTAAACCCCGGAGTGTGACAGAGCCCAATCCCACACTATATCTGGTGCACACAGATAATGAACTTGAGCCTGACAGTCCTTAAATATTCGGCTTAATTACTGCATCAGTTGTTGCCACTTGCTTTTATTTCTGTACAAGTTGTTGAAATGGTCTTTTTCAAGCAGAAAATGGTCTTTTTTCTTTTTTAAGCAAGGAACTCTCTGAGACAAAATTATCTGGAAAAAGTTAGCATCTGGCATTACCTTATATAGTACATTAATCAAATGTAGAGCTCTATATTTCTATACCATATATGGATATAAAACTTTATTGAATGCAGATCCATGCTGTCCAATACAATAGATACTAGCCAAATGTGGCTATTTAAATTACAATTAAAATTAAAAATTTAGTTTTGTAGTCACAATTTGAGTGCGTAATAGCCAATGGCTACCATGTTGGACAGTGTGAATCTAGAACATTGCCATCACTACAGAAAGTTTCCCTGGAAATTACTTATAGAAATGGAAATATAAGTACCCTGGTAAAACCTAATCTCTAAGTGATACCAGGCAATAATGATGGTATATGTCCCTTACTTTCCATTAGGTCGATAATTAGACCTTAAAATAATGACAGCTGTTTTTTCTTTAATAAATTATTTTGAATGCTTAGATTAAATTAGTAAAATAGACTATTTATAGTATCATATTATTCATATTTTTAACATTAAAAATTTACCCTGGGGTGTGTCAGAGTCAATACTCTGCAATAGACTTCTCAAATCCAGAGATTTTTTTTTTTAAAGTTTCAGAGTAATATGAGGGTACAAACAATTGGGTTACAGTGTTGGCATTTTTTCAAATCCAGAGATTTTTTAGTAGAATTATTGTTAGCAGAGGCTTATCAAGATAAACTTTCAACAAAGTTAAACTACTCAACTAACTCAACTACGATTTCTGAGAGTTTTTCATATTGAGGGAAGAATGGTTCTGTAAAACATTTGAGGATAGGAACTGGTCATTGAATAGTCCTTAAAATAGGGTTTTTTAGTCACTTTTTAGTCTATGAGAATCATATACATAGTAAAATTTGGAAAATGTGAAAATAAAATAAGTAGAAAGAAAAAAAGATTTCACCAGCCAAAGACAATCTCTAGAAATATAACAGTGTTGTTTTTTTTTCCGGGCCTGAGATTTTATGTAATACAAAAACTATAATTTCTATCACAAGAAAACAAGAAAACTGGAAAAAGACATCTCTATTTGCCAAATAAAGCTGAGTTAGTCTGACACCTACATGATAGAGCCAAAGAATTTTTTTCCTTAAAGATAATGAGTGTGGGCTGGGCGTCTGTAGCACAGTGTTACAGCACCAGCCACAGACACTGGGCCAGAACCCAGCCTGGGTCAGCTAAACAATGACAACTGCAACAAAAAATAGTGGGGCATTGTGGTGGGTGCCTGTTGTCCCAGCTACTTGGGAGGCTGAGGCAAGAGAATTGCTTAAGCACAAGAGTTTGAGGTTCTGTGAGCTGTGACACCACTGCACTCTACTGAGAGTGACATAGTGAGACTATGTCTCAAAAAAAAAGTGTGTAATACAAGAGAACCTTGCCTGCTTCTTCTCTATTGTGCAGTCTGACTAAAATCATTCTGTAGGCAACATTAGCATTTTATTCCAGTGTCTACCCTGAAACACAGAGACTCCAGCTTTTGGAACACTGAGGCGCTGCAGGGACTGAGTAACCAAGCAGTGATAAATTGCACCCTTTCCGACAGGGGCACAGGCGTGTAGAAGTCTTGTATCTGTGTTACCAATGCTTTTTCCGTTTCAAGAGCCTCGCCATCATCAATCTTTTAACAAATAGAACTCCCTGGTGAGGCTGTTTTTTTGCACAAGTAACCCCAGAGATCAGGAATCTGCAATGCTCCACTGTATCAGTTCTGTGGATAGAAAGTAGAATTTCGGTGACTAACAATGGTTTGCTTTTATTCTGTCCCAGCCAACTGTGAATGTTTACCTACTCTGAAGGAAGAGAAGGAATCAAACCACAGCCCAAGGTACTTCTAGTTTTTACCACGGGTTATATGTGTATGGAGGGAGGGGGATTGGACACCACTGTGGAACATTTTTTGCTTCCTCTGTGCCTATAAATTTGATGTGGCAATTCGCGTGGGTGTATGTGTGTGTGATGTGGAGAAAAGGAAGTGAGAGTTACAGAACATAGAAGGCTGAAAAGTAGATATCCCGGTGGCTCTTTCTCTTTAGAAATGAATTATTGACATTTCCTTGCCCTTCTAAAGAGACACCATCAAAGCAATTCCTGTTTTAGTCATAAAACTTTCCAATTATGACAGACTGTAGGTTTGTTTGCCTTAGATAAATAGATGTTTGGTAAGGAAAACAGATGGAGGAGACAGTCTTAAAGCGGCTAATTGGAAACTAGAACGAGTAAAATGAACATTTCTTTAAAAACAAACAAAGAAAACCAACCACCTGGGTTTGATTGTTAGGTGCAAGAAATTGAGAGAATTTTTTAAATGCCCCATTTTACCACTAGGTGGCTCTGCTTGATAGAAAATTTTAGTACATTGGGTTTGGGGCGTAATTTAGCACTGCACACTCTCATCTGAATTATATTATCTTTTGTGAGGACAGAAATGACCATGTTTGTGGTGTTTTTGATCTGACAATTGTTTATTCAGAACATGGGACTTGCTCTCAGAAAATAGGTCTGATGATTTGGCAGGTCACAGATTTGCTCTTCTGTAATCTTGGGGGGCACCAAGTTATTGGTGGGAATCAGCCATGATAGCCAGAAGGCAGAGAACTTGAGCCTGTGCCTGAGATCCTACACTTCTGTTGGAATACATATACTAAGTTTACCTTCAGGTCAGGATAAGGATAAATACTGTCATCCTTCCATGTTAACCAGAGGTTTTGTGTTAGTCATCTTAAATGCTTTCAGAGTACAGTCTCTTGTCACTGGGCAGTTCCCGAGGCCTGAGCATTACAAGGCAAAACTGATGATTAGGTAGTGATTAGGGCGGTCAGAAGTTTGTCTCCTTTATTCTGTATCTTCTCCCTAAACCTTACCAAGGAATTCATCAACCTATATCTCACTCCACATCCTGCCACCACAGTCTTACTAAGGCAAATCTCACTCAACTTTGATACCAAAGTCTATGCCTTATTGTAGAGGTAAGTCATTGTTACTGCTCTAAGTATTTGTGGGGTTTTCTTGTTTGTTTTGTTTTTGAGACAGAGTCTCACTTTGTCATCCTTGATAAAGTATCATGGCTTCATAGCTCACACCAAGCCAAACTTTTGGGCTCGAGGGAGCTTGTTGACTCAGACTCCCAAGTAGCTGAGATTACAGGTGCCTATCACAATACCGGCTATTTTTAGAGATGCAGTCTCACTCTAACTCAGTCTGGTCTTGAACTCGTGAGCTCAAGTGATCCACTTGCCTTGGCTTCCCAGAGTGCTAGGATTACAGGTGTGAGCCACTGTGCCCAGCTCTGAATATTTGTGTGCTAAGATCCATCACTGATTCAAAAAAAAATTCTATCCTATTTAAAAGAAAAAAAAAATTTTTTTTGGAGACAGAATCTTGCTCTATTACCCCAGGCTAAAGTAATATGGCATCATAGCTCACAGCAACTTCTTAGGTTCAAGCTATCCTCCTGCCTCAGTCTTCTGAGTAGATGGGACTACGGACATCCTCCACAATACCCAGCTAGTTTTTCTATTTTTGGTAGAGATGGGGGTCTCACTCTTAGCTGTTCTCAAACTCCTGAGCTCGAGCGACCTAACTGACTCAGCCTCTCAGAGTGCTAGGATTATAGGTGCCTGTAATCCTCCGTGCCCCCACCTAAAAGAGATTCTGAATACTAACAAGTAGGTGAAAGGGGTGGGGGAAATGCCAGGGCAGTTACAAAGTTACCAAGATAGTTACAAAGAACTATCCCCCCATATTTTTACCTTACCTGAAAATGAGCCATTATGTATGTCCAGGATAGGGGTCAGACTATCACCAAAACTCCATAAATAAGTTATTCCTCTGTGGCTGATGAGCACCTTCAAATGGTGGAGAACATCAGTGGCTTTTCCATACCTGCTTCTTGTTCTTTCAGATTGTTGGCAACATGAAAGAAGCTTAACATTACAGAACTCTATGGTTGTGAAAGCTTCTTAAAAGTTAGATTTCTGGAGGCCAGGTGCAGTGGCTCACACCTATAATCAATCCTAGCACTTAGGGAGGCTGAGTTGGGAGGATCATGTGCGGCCTGGAGTTTGAGACTATCCCGTACAACATAGTGAGACACTGTCTTTACAAAAAAATTTTAAAAATTATATGAGTGTGGTGGTGCCCACTAAAGTCCTAGTTATGTGGGAGGCTGAAGCAGAAGGATTGCTTGAGCGCAGGAGTTCAATAGAGTCAGACCCTGTCTCTAAAAAGAAAAAGAAAATAAAAATCATATCTTTGGAATAGTGAGAAAATGAATCGTAGCTTATTTCTACCTGTAAGGCACAAGCCTTAACCTATTTGGACACCTGCATTATGCTAAATTATTATTATTATTATTATTATTTATTTATTTTTTGAGACAGAGCCTCAAGCTGTACCCCTGGGTAGAGTGCCGTGGCATCACAACTCACAGCGACCTCCAACTCTTGGGCTCAAGCAAATCTCCTGCCTCAGCCTCCCAAGTAGCTGGGACCATAGGCACCCACCACAACGCCCAGCTATTTTTTGGTTGCAGCTGTCATTGTTGTTTTGGCGGGCCCGGTCTGGATTCAAACCCACCACCTTAGGTATATGTGGCTGGTGCCTTAGCCACTTGAGCCACAGGCACCAAACCTAAATTATTATTTTTAAAGGGAAGGTCTACATTCCTCTGTGGGTCTGGAGTTATTGCCATTAACCCACAGGATGACTGTTAGGCCTTTGCCCCACTCCCTCTCTGGGAAGCCAGCACCAGTGTTCTACATCCAAGAGCTACAAGTCCCAGGCCTTTGTGCGACAGGCACTTTCTGATATTACAACGTTAATGTTCATTCTCTAAAATCCGAGAAAAGTAAAAAGCACTTAGAACAATGGGCACAACACCTAGCACAAAGGAAACTCTCAGTGAATGTTGGTTATTATTATTATAGTTATTAACAAATTAAAACTAATATGTGGAAACTCACTGCTTTTTGGGCTTAATAAGCCTGTGTCCAGACAAATCAATATTGATGGGTGGAACATTATTTTTGTCCCTGGTTTTTGTTGTTGTTGTTGTTGTTCTTTCTGGATCTACCAATCCTGAGAAATAAGTAATTTGTTCAATCTCCCATGAGACTTAGTTCTCCTCTATTGCCAGCTAAGGCCCATTAATGTTGGCGGTTTCAGAATCATCCCCTCATCAGCCTGGAGTTTTGGAAAGGGTATTAATACCTTATAGTTTGGATAATCTTTCTTTTCTGTCATAATTTCCTCTCCATTTCTTTTTCCTAAATTCTTAATTACATGGCTTACCAATAAAATGTTTACTTTGAATATCTAAGTAAATATCTGTCCCTTGTGGGACAGAAGTGAGATTTGGGGTTTTTCCTCTAAAAGCTTGTTAATTGTTGGACATACAGATGGAAAGTGCATTGTTCGCTGGACTTAGAATCAGACTAGCGTTAAGACCTCACTGTACTGCCTCTTTGGTCTTTAAATGAAGACAAGTGACTTTAGCTCTCTGAGCTTCAATTTCCTCATCTTGGAAAATGGAAATAAGAGCACCTGTCCTTCTAGTTTCAGAGAGTCACATGAAAGAATGAAGCCACTGTGTAAGTTTTACAGCGTCATGCAAATGAAACCAATTCTTTTCATGCAGCGGCAATGGTTCCTCTCCATCCCCCACTGGCTTTTTGAAGATTATTTTTAAGACCAGTTTCAGGTTGACAGCAAAGCTGAGCAGAAAGTACAGAAATTACCCACATACCCCCCCCCCACACACACATGCACATCCTCCCCCATCATCAACATCCCCCACCAGAGTGATACAGTTGTTACAATGTATTGTCAACCTATATTGACATGTCCTCATCACCCAAAGTTCCACTGGCTTTTACTTCTGTAAGTGATCCTTTTTCTATCATTGATACAGTGTACAGGTGAATTTAATGCTTTGGAAACTATGTAACAGTCCCTGAAGATTGAATTTAGTAGAAAGCACACTTCTTCAACCTCTTGACAAACTAAGACTTCTGGAATCCATTTACAGGGTCCAGCTTTCCTTGATGGGAGAAAGACATCCCAGGCATAGAAACTCTGTCGTATATTAAGTCCGCCATGTTTGTAGAAAAACAAAGTCTCCCTGATCACTGTCCTACATTTAATAGGCCGCACTGTGTGCAATGACTTCCACCCTTCTACCGTTTCTTGCTAAGATCCACTCTCTGGGGTCTTTCCGAAGTTTTTCTATGTGTCATGGGCCGGTCCTTGTTCATTACTCTTCTCTGTCCTCATTGAACGGGCATTTTCCTTGAGCTGTGGAATCTCTAATACAACAAAGGATTTTAATAAGGGCCAGAGAACTGCAGGACGTTTTCAGGACGGTTTTTATGTTTACAAAAAATCAATAGGAAAAGCAACGAACGGATTTGTGGGGGAAGAGGAGATCTTTATATTCTTATCTCCCACCTTAGTATTTTTCCATTGTTAATACCTGCATTGTATAAGGGAATAGCGTCAGGGGCGTTCCAAGAGGTCTGAGGAGGGTGGTGGCAGAGGTCTGCCTTTCGTTGGAGGGAATTTCGTCACTGTATTCCTGAGCATCTCCAGCACATGGTGATGACAAAGGCCAGATCCATTTAGTTTGTTCTGTTATTGTTCAATTTCTCTACAGAAAATGCACTTCCTTATTGTCTAGCCCAACTCTCACAATACCCTTTCAAATGCCACTAGATAGTGGTACAAACAAGAAAGAGACCCTTTTATCATGGGCCTTATAATCTAGCCAGGCTCTTCCTTCTTCCTGAGGCTTTTAGAGTTTGACAGTTTCCTGAAAGCCTGGTGTTTCTG